CAAATGACTAGGAGAGAATTCTTTATTGTTATAATTGTTAACGACCTGGGGGCGAAGTCCCCAGGCTATGTCCACACATAGATACTTACATTTCTTATATACACGTTGTATTGGAGAAATAACAAGCCTTAGCAACCACCCGCCCACGCTCCTTTACGTGGTGGGTGTGGTCACGGCAAACAAAATGGAGGCTTACACATGGGACAAAGTTAAGAGCTTTCTAACAGCAAGAGAGCATAGAGATACCGTCTAAATACTTCTCTAGAAGCATTATAAGGTAGAGAGAACCTCTATAAGTCTTAATAACGACCAAGTTGTACTTGCAAGGGGGTGAAATCAATTATAGGAATATTTTTTACCCTGTTACGCTTGTTTTGTTTAATAGTGTTAGAACACAAAATTAAACTATTAAATATACAAGAAAAGCTTCATTATGAATTGTCAAAAGTAGACTATGAGCTGCAAGCGAAATACCATATAAATGGTGATTTTTTCCAAAATTATTAGTAGAAATTTTTATTTTTACATATTTTTTCGTTGTGTAGAAAGTTTGAACTGGTACTGATCAAAATGAGATTTTTACAAATTTTTAAAGTTGCTTCAAAATTAAGCCAAAGTCCCTGTACTGTAGTACAGGGTCATTGGCCAAATTTCACCAAAAATGACTTCTCAATTTTTATAATTTTTTCTGATGCATGTACATGTACTTATGTTTTATAGTAAGTTTGAGCTAATTTTGATCAAAGTTGATTTTTTTAAAAATTATAAAGTTGCTCCAAAATTGAACCAAAGCCCTTGGCCCCTGTACAAGGCTATTTGCTGAATTTTGCCAAAAATGAAAAGGTGTTAATTTTTTATAATGTATTTTGATGCATATACTTTTATTTATGTAGAAAGTTTGAGCTGATTCCAATCAAAGTTGATTTTTTTATAAATATTTAAATTTGCTCCAAAACTTGGCCAATGTTCCCTGTATTATTTGGACATAAAATATCTGTGAATAGTATTATAAAAAACTGTTTTAACTGTAAGCCTGTTCTATGATCAATATATAAAAACCAGCTTTATGCATTCAGCAATGAAACATAAATATTGAATACATGTACAGAACAAAATATAAAATAAAACTTTGGTGATTATATGGACACACAACACAACAAAGATTGCTCACACTACTATAAAAAAATACTGAAAAATTTGTGTTAGTAAGTTTACTTTATTACCAGTGCGTTGCATTACTTCTGGTACCTAAATTAAACAAAATAAAGTACTGTCTTATTTAAAATAGTACTCACCCCATGATTTTTATAATCTGAATAATCTTCAGAAACATTTGGTGTACTGTATTCATTACTTGTCATTACTTCACAACTTGTAGCAACCTGTTGATAATAAAAAATAATTCAATGGAGTTTGTCATAAAAATAATATTAATTGTTATACCACTTCAGTAGAATTGTTTAACATAATGTCTGTTACAAGTGCTCCTGGCTTCTCTTCAACACTCAGTGATTTATCAATAAAGGAATTTTCTGTTGGAAAGTGAATAGGTAAAACTTCATTCACATTCATTGATATTATAATTATTAGTAATTGATCCGCTACAATCATATACATCAGCTCTGTTTAAAGGGACTGATGTTGTATTTGGCTGCACAATTTCAGCTACAAAAATGATGAATATTATGTTTACTAACATTACAATTTGTAATGTTAGTAAATTTACAATACTTACCATCAGTGGAGCAAGTATCATCTTCTACTGGAGTATTAATATCATAATCATATTCATTTTTTGGTGGATACTTTTCTGTGTAATAAAATAAATATTAAATGATGCTAAAATTCATATCAATACCATAATGTCCATGAACCACAGCACAGCAGCATCAGCAACTGCACCAGTTGCATCAGCAACTGGTGCTACAAACTGAGAACTGGTGCTCACGGTGGCACTGTGTTTTTGTGCAACAGTATCATCATAGGAAGGAGGAGGAAGAATAGCAGAACTATAAAATCAAAATCAGAGAGTAAGATAAAATAACACTATCAACTAACATGTCATCAGATTCAGATGGCTGATAAGCAGTGACACCTCCTCCTCTCTACAAGACAATGCTAAGTATTAAACATCACTTAATGTTAATACCTTATTAATATCTCCAGTAACTTTATCATATATGACAGTTTGAGCAGCAGGAGGTAGAGGAGTAGTATTCGTCCTTTTAACAAGATCAGCATTAGTAGGATTAGCAGCAGTAGCAGTGTCACTAACAGCAAAAGTAATAGATACATCACTGCCAGTATTAGTACTGTACTCACTACTCAGAATTATAAATAAGTGGTGCTATTGATGATATACTGTCCTCAACATTAATTTTGTTTCTGATGTGTTCATTGATGGGCATGGCTCTTGTTGTGTTAATTCCTAAATAACACAATAGTTCAAACTATAAATCTAATTTCAAAAATTACATTATACTGAGCCATCATTGACATATTGACATTGTTTTAAATTACATTATTTTTACAGCTATACTCAACCAATTGATAGTAAAGCTCTTGTATTTGCTCTTTATATGTATGTCTAGAACTAGGATAATGATTAATACGTTGTTCACGTACAATGCAGACTTTGTAACAAATTAAATGCCCCATAAATTGACTAACAACTACATATTATTGACATAGTTTATAAAAGGAAACATCTATTAAAAACAAAATATAAGCTACAAAAATAGCTAATTCATGGCACATACTGAACATCTATAATAGTAATGAAATAGTTACTACATTAAAAACTGAAGTAGCTAAAAATACTAAAAATAGAAGTGGCAGCAAAAATTACTAAAGACTATGATTAAAACAAATCAACAACTGATTCACGATTATCATTGCTGAGTTTAACATTAGTAGAACTTGGTACTATTTCTCTCATTTGTTGATCAACAGTTTTATGAGATTTGGTGACATCTTGATCATCATCATCTTCATCTTGTTTCTTGAATAACTTCTTAATTAGAGCATGATAACATTTCATATGTGAAAACTGCAGGTGAAGATGATAAACAAAAATCAAAATGAAACTAAAAATAAAAACAGATAAACAAGAATTGTACCAGATCAATACTTTACTGTCATCAGTAAAGGCTACGGATAAAGAAGCCATGATGCACAAGTTTAAGAGAAACCAAAATTCAATGATATTATTTAATTTCCTTCTGTACACACCACCAAAGATAAAGCTAAGGGAGAGGATAATAGTTGCTACTGCCAATAGCAAGACACGTGATTCATTCTGCAAAAAGGTGACAATTAAAAGTAATGGTATCCTAGTCACTAGCAGTAGACCAGGCCAGAACCGATAATCATCTTTCATTGGACCACTATAAGCATCAATAATAGGCTTGAAATGACTCCAGCTCTTAAACAATTTAAAATGTGACAGATGCTTCTCAAGTACTGGATGACATAAAAGGAACAGTGTGTATGGTATGACAAAGAAAACAGATACCAATAGGGCAAATCCAAGTAGTCCAGCATGCTTCCCTTTAGCATATTCAACATTAGGATCCTCATACCATAAACTAACAGATTTTACTGACTCGTTTGCACAGTGAAGAGTTACCTCATGCTTGTGTAGTACAATAACAATAGTACGTACTAGTTTAGTATATGAGAGAAAAGTAAGTGTAGAAAGAACAGGAACAACATGAGACCCCATCAATCTTGATATCTTACCATATCTCCTACACAATTGTATAATGATAATGATAATGATCCACAGGTAGAGAGGGAAAGCAAATTGAAGCCATTGTTTAGCATAACTGTCCATACCATTGTAAAAGCATATTTCAAACCCAAAGTCTAAGTTAATCCATGATATCACTTGACTCAAGACTGGTAATGCTCCTTTCCTTGAAAAGACTGGCTCGTATAACTTGACAATGTTAGCATAGAACAATAGACCATTGAGTGTACCCACTGATACTGTTAAATTGAGAGCAATCAGTAGAACCACAAGTAGTACACCCATCACTGCAAACAGAGCAATCCAAGCTATCATCATGTAATTATTATGACACTGTCCACACTTGTTTGATCCCATTAGTAGACTGTATCCATCTCTACATGATCCACACATTCTTCCTCCTTTATTGTCCACACATTGAGTATCAGTGTCATTCAACTGAAAGGTAACAGGATTAGGAGAACAATAGAGGAGACAGTCCTCATTGATAATGCATGTATTAGGATTGGTTTCATTAGCATTGAAAGGTGTACTGGTATCATATGTTCCAATCCACAGTAGACCATTGTGTATAATGCTTTGACTATCTATGTCACATGTCACATTCTCTCTTGGAGCAATGCAATCACAAACCCCTGAACTGTTTACACTGAAACCAATGGGACAATCATGAAGAATGAATTGTGTTTGAATTCTGTAATAATAGTTTAAGATCTCTAAAATGATTTCATGTCTTGTGTATGTGAGGTTATATGATATGTATTTGATCAAGGAACAGTTACCAGTTATGCTTACTTGTGTCATTGGTAGTTTATCTATTCCTATTAATACTGTTCCATTTGTAGGAGCAAAATCTATGGTAGATGCAACTGTATCTAAATTGAATACAAAAAAAGCAACATTATATTTCAGTGGTTGACCTCGAAATATTTGTTGCTCATATTTATCATGATTCTGTGTGCTTGATGTTGTTCCATTGCTCTCAGTATCACTTGGTATTGTTTCATTGCTGTTAGGATCACAAAAAAAGAATCGAAAATTGCTTGATACACTAGCTTTAGCATTTGTCAAATTAAAATAATTAAATGAAAAGTTAGACCCATATATATCATTCCCAGCTACTCCAGCAGTATTATCCTTTAATGTAAGAGGTATAAAACAGGAATTTTGTTTAAATTGAAATTTACTGTTCTCATCAATATAAATTCCTCCTCCTACAAGAGATGCATGATTGTCAATAAACTCCAAGTTAGCTGATGGTGATAGGACCACAACAGATGAACCCTTTATTGCCATTCCTCCTCCAACTACTCCAGTATTATTCTCAAATACTAATCTATTTTCTACAGTTACTACTGAGGATGTAATTTCCAGTCCTATTGCTAGAGTATTAGTAACAGTAATGTTACTAAGCTTAAGAAAGATAGAAAGGCAGAATAATATCTCATTTCTCCAATTCCTAACAAGTTCAGTATCTATAACACTGATACAAATTGATGTTGATAAATGTCCATTAATGAGTAAACCATACCCATTATTGTCACGTATTGAACATGACCTAACAGTAACAGCAATGTGATGGATATTTAATTTATGAAAGTATAAACTTAATCCTTCATAGTTTTTGTAAAATTGAGAGTCTTCAATTACAATAGTAGATTTGGGTTCAACACCTTTAATATTACAATTTTTTGATATCCATGAATACGTATCAAAATAAAAAAGAAATCCTGTACCTGGATTACATCTAGATACTGATGAATTGATAATATGCAGAGAAAAAAGAGATTCACTGAAAGAAAGATCAATACCCTTTGTGCTGATGCTTTTAACATTATCAATAACAACTGATATGTTATATGAGGTACCATGTTTCATATTAATGCTTAACGACCCAAAGCCATTAGTCACAGTAACATTAGTCAGTGTTAATGAGTAATGACGTAATTCATTGTAACACACTGGAGGTGGATCATACTCAATAGTTGGTGGAGGCACATTATTAAAAGTTGAAGATACTATCTTACAGTCAAAAACATTTAAGAGTGTCACTGAGCTATTTGTATCAATAAAATATCTCAGTTTTTCAAAAGTCATAGTAGAACCAGTAATTGTGATATTACTTGAAAAACTAAGATGTATGTAGCATTTTAGGAATGATATGCTACTAAAACTGACGTGACTGCTGGTAGTGACTGTTATAAAGTTATTTCCTTGATAATAATCATTTAATATGCAGTAGATAGTAGGAGACTGGTCCAGTCCATGTAGAGTTATATTCTGTACTGAGTCCATTGTGACAGTAAAGTTAATGACACTAGTTCCAATGAAGTAGAAGATGGTGTTATTGTATTGAGACATATTCCCAGCATACACTGATAAAGGATTACAAGGTGACTGAGTAACTGAACTGCAGTCATCAGACACATAATACTGACCAGAGGAGACACTGCAGGAGCTACTGAAGAATAAGAGAACAACAACTAGCAGGAGAGACATAGCTACTGTCTGTACTGACTGACTAGTGTATACTTGCAGGCTGCGAGTGATGACTTACATGGGCTATGTGTTCCCCAAATATGGAAATCTGATGCGTAGTTGTGATAATTGATGGTGTTTGTGTCATTTTTACTAATTCTCAATTTATGATCTATAATAATAATTCCTTGAAGAGAAAATGAGCTAATTATAAAGAATATACACATAACTTGTAGCGGTTTAATTTTGTATGTTTTAAACTAAATCATTTTCTCTAATCCCTCCTACTCCATTCTCTAATCTTGTTCATTGTTTACCATGGACGACTGCATGGTCAGCAATGCTTGCATGATAAGCCAATATGTGTACAATCACAGACGTAAGGGTGACTGTACATTCAACAAATGGTGATAACCTCATTATTACTACACATAATGTATGCAATGGTTTATAACAGAGTAAACAAAACACTTGTAGTGATTCATGCACTAAGTCACTATCACTGTCAGCTACTACTGTATAGCACTTTTCTTTGGTCAGTGGAGTTTTATTTTGGCAATTTTGCTTTAAAATTGTAATTGGCGGTTCTTAATTTGGCAATTTTGTGTAGCTTTATTGTGCATGCCCATTAATGATTTGCAGTGTTAATATTGGTAATTTTGCTTGCAAAATGCCAGGCAATTGCTAAAATAAAATTCCACCAAATCAAGGCGTTTTACGTTAATTTACAATTCAGATACCTATTACTAGTGTAATATCAAAAATGTTATATTACATATTGTATGTGCTTTATGTCTATGGCTTCAGGTTTTAGTGATATAATACAAAAGTACTACATTAAATAAGAATAATAATTATTAAAGAAAAGGATATACCTCATTACATTATAAAAGCTGGAGAGAAGGAGAATTAGTTAGAGTGACTGTGTGATTGCAACTGCTTTGCTTTCTATTTATGAGGAAGATTGATTTGTACTTGTACAAATTTGGAATTCTAAGAAGTACACCTGCAGTCGTGCATGCACTTTTATATTAAATTAAAATGTTTTTTTGAATTTTTAAATTTGTACTTGTAGTACAAATCTGTGTTTATGACTTCATCTACATACTACCTACTACATACTAAGAATTTGTTCATTTATCTACCTGTACTAGCTAGTGTACATGTACAATGACTTGCTATCATCATAGCAAACTCCCCACAAAATAGTAGTGATATCATGTGCACAATTGTAGTAGATGATATCTCTGTTAGACTTAGTTCTTTACCTGTGATGGATTGTGCTTATAAATCATAATAGTCAGAAGACATCTGAGTCATTATGGCTGGCATAGCTTGCAGCTCATTTCCTACTTCTGACAATCCATAATGAAGCTGTTCTTGTGTATTTCATCAAATTCCATGTACTAATTAACAACCTG